TCTCCATTAATTTTTAATTATTGTCGAATTAATTATTCTGTAAAATATCTTTGTACACGGTGTGTATTTGAGCTAAGCTAAATGAGGCGGCAATTTTATTCATACTGCATACGTCCAAACTAAATCAACGAATATTTCTTGTTACGGCAAATAAAAAAATAAAAAAGCTTTATTTATTTTTAATCGTTAATTGTGAAAAATTGTGCAATTCTTGAATTCTTTTGTGTCAAGAATAATGAGAAATCTGCAGTTAATTATGTTATTCAATATAGATTCAAAAGCTAGTGTCAATACGTGAAACAATCATAATATTTCACCATTGTTTAGTGACATGCATATATTGTCCTTAATCTTTGTGATACTCTTCACACATACGCTACATCTCATTATACGTAGCGGCAGTAAAATCGCAAGCGAAGGTATTTGCCCGCATCGCGTAAATTGTTGATTTTTTATTCAAATTATGGTAATCGTAAATGAATGGAAATTGGAATATAGTTTCAAGAAATTATCTAATGATATCTATAATTTTTTATGGAAAATTTCAATTCTGCAGAGACGATAAGTGATTAAAGTTAGCACTAGTATGTAACGAACGTTTTGACCATGGTCGCCGCCAAAAACGAAAGAGTTGAAATAAATAAAAACTGGTATATCGTATGCGTTTTTTGTTTACATTTATCCAAGTTTATCTGTATATACTAGTTGTTCAAATCAGTTTGATTTTTTATCTCTTTCACTACAATTGAAATTATTTCCCAAACAAACTTCAGCAAATTATATCTGCAATTTCAAGTTCGAAAATTTCATTGATTTTTTTGTGTCTTTGATCCTATTTATAATATAGTAAAATATATCAAATTTCATTGAAAAATATTCTCAAAATTTATTTGTCTGTCACTAATAGTTGATCATAGTAGGTACAAATAAAATATGGTATTCTCTGTTTTTGTTCCTTGAAGTAACAAATTCATTTCCCCATTCTAACTTTTCATCTACTTATAGAAATTTTAATAGCAATAAATCAATCAAATCCATGCAAGACATGCATCATAGACACATTTCGAAATGAGTAAAACGCATACGGTCGACGAACTAATCGCAACCAGTGAAACCATAGTGTATTGTCATTTAGTTGTACAAAGTGATAAAACATAATATAATACGATTATCACAGCTTACATTCTTGGAATCGATGGAGAGTTATCAATAAAAATTGCTACAAAATTTAAGAGTAAATCGTCTTGTAAGGTTTATTCTTTTTCCTTCAAACTGTTCTTTCTCGACTATTTCCCTTGTATGCTTCAGGTGGTTAAAATATGGACCGATGAACTCGAGAACGTTTGCTTCATATATAATGATACAGCTTGATATTACACTTAACATTTCTAAAACTCTAAAAACGCGAGTCGTAACTGTTTAATGCTACATTTCTTTGCTATATCGTGAATTTTTATATACATTCATATTTAATATGTATAATTAGAATTAGAGAGGCAACGTATATTTGAAATATAATTATATATAATAATATCATATAATTAGGAAAGTAGAATTTTTTGATGAGGTCAACGGTATGTAACACTTATGACATGCACTTAAACCTAAACATTGTCAAATTAGAAACTGGGCGCCTCATAAATTTCAGGTGGTCTCAAGTTTTTCTGCACATTAGTGATAGCATGTCATAAGCACGTGTCATAATATTTACGTGTGAAATATTATGCGGACAACAGTTTTCCAAAAAATCATGTGTGACCGTTTCTCAGAATTGCCGCCCAATGTGACATTACTTTCACGGGTGATGAGAAATTCTGGAAATCATACTTCATGATAGATTTTACGCATGGAGAAGGGCAGACGAAATATTGTTGTATAAGAGGACTCTGAGAACATCACAAGTAATGTGACTATCTAACATCAGGCAGTGATCATCTAACATCAAACTCAGTAACTATCTATTTAAAATCAAACATAATGACTGTCTACTTTAGCATCAAACTCCCAATGACTATCTATCAGTATCAATCAATCAATTCATAGTAACTACTCAACCAATCAATTTAGTGAACATTTCAGTTCATCAAAGGTCAGTTCAGTGATAATTGATTCAGTTCTAGACAATCGTCAACTGCAGTAGTAGTGTAATAGTAGTCATTCACTTAATATTCAACTAAGTGTATTTTTCAAACTGAGATGTTGGTAGCTTAGTCAGAAGCCAGAAATGTTGTATATTAAAATACGTATTATTCAAAACAGAGTCGTTCATTTTTCACATAAATGAGTCCTCTTTTGACACCAAGTGGCATATATAGAAGAACACGCTCGATTCCAGTCATAAGTCCTTAATTTTGATATAGCAATTGTTTTTTTCAATTAAACATTGTAGACACAGATGTATTTTGTGCAATTTGCACTTTTGGATATTTAACCGATACATAAATTTTCTATTTTCTATAAATATCTAAATAATGATGATTGAAATTCACTCATATCTCTTTTTATGATAAATATAATTTATCAAATTTTATATAGCCTTTTTTTGCTTTCTTTAAATGTGTCTTTCTTCAGTGTGTTTTATGATACAATGAAGTTCTAAAGAAACATATGCATTAGAAATAACAGTCCAGTTACAATCTGTCTCTTATTTCTGCAACTATGTCTTGTGGAATGATAAAAACCATTTGAATACTATGCAACAAAAGAGAAATTTTGTGAATTTCTATATAATTGTATTTCAATGTCGATTTTGTAGCAATTTCTA